GCGGGCAGGGTGGGACGGCTCCCGCGCGCGCCAGTGATCCTGCGGGGGCGGAGGAGGAGGAGGAGGCGGAGGAGGAGGAGGGGGAGGACAGGAGTCATTCTTGAGTTGTTGTGTCTCCGGCAGTCTTCTCGTGGACATGGCTGGATCTGCCCCGAAGTTTCTAGTCGGAACGCACCCCGGCTTTGTGAGCAGGAGGGAGGAGGGGCAGAGGAGAAGGAGGAGCAGGAGGAGAAGAAGGAGGAAGACGAGGGTGTCTGCCCAACTGTTCCGCGCCACTGGCAACACAAGCTCGTCGTAGTGCCCACAGCACCACACAGAGGCCCACCCTCTTGCCACCGAGAGCGTCGTATAGGTCGAGGCCTCGCGCGGCGCGCAATAGTTAGATCATTTAGTCCACACCTCCGCTCTGTAAGGCATGTGTCGACGTTCGCGCGGCGATGCTCTGACGTAAGTCCGACGTGAATCCGAAGTACACCCAGGGTAATTCGACGTGGATCCGACGAGCATCCGACGTAAACTTTGTCTGCTGTTGCCGCGCGAGGCCTCCAGGAGTTTCTTCACGTCGGGCCTCGAAGCGGCGCGAGCAGAAGGGGCGTGCAGAGGGGGTTGCCCTCTCATCAGCAAGGCGGCGCAGCCTTACTACCACTACCACTACCACTACTACTACTACTACTACTACTACTACTACTACTACTACTACTACTACTACTACTACTGCTACTGCTACTGCTACTACTACTACTGCTACTACTAGTGTCTCGTTGACGCGAAGGTGTTTGCGATCGAACAAAAATTTAACAGCATACACAATTTCTGAGATCTGGGCGGATTTCTTGGATCGGCGCTGGGCCGCCTGGCGGCACCTCAGGCGCCGCCCTCAGCGCTCCGCGCGCCATGGAGCTGGGTCCAGCGCCGATCCAAGAAATCCGCGCGGACCTCAGAACATTTGTTCTTCTTTGCGAGGCTCACCGTGGAACACTCAAGACGCTGAAGCGAGGTCCACTTTGGGCTCAGGATGGACTCGGGTGTTCGGGCCGCTTCTTAGGCGCAGCGTCGGTCGCGGATGCTGTTCGTTGCCGAGGCTCGCCGTGGCCAGCGCTCCTTATAGGAGCACGATGAGTGGACTGCGCAGAGTTGCGCTCGAGTTACGATCACTGCGTCGCGTCTTGTGTCCCCCCCCCCTTGCGCAACCAGCACCAGGGCCAGCCGCGCGATGGCTCGAAGAGCGCCACGCGGCTTAGGAGGGCAAAGGGCCGGGGCGCGCAGCACTCCGCTGCCAGAGCAGCCTCGGTGCCGCGATCGGCTGGTGTGCTTCTGTGTTCCCTGTGCTCGCCTTCCCTCTCTTGTCTGAATTCGGAAACTGGAACATATACATTACCAGTGGCGGGTTGTTTTTTCAATCCCACGACTTTTTGATGGTCGGGGACGACGTCGGGGTGGTGTGGTGTATACTTTTCCCCCGTTTTCCTAGGGAGGCAGCGAACAATGTATACACCAGGATCCCGTATATACCAGGATTCGCGTTCCTGTGCGAATTTCAGCGCAGGGTCGGAAAAAGCGTCGGTGTAGCGAGTGTTTTTCCTATGAATCATTGTTCGCAGTGTGCCCGCACCATCAGGCGATCGCTCAGGGTCAGCAGTCGCCGTATACCCAGCGTGCAATGGTAGCAGTTTTTCGGAGTTCGCCACCGTCTCGAATGCCCCAGGTGATATTTGTCTTGCCTATTGCTGTTGGTGATGCTTCTTCCACCTGAGCGTAAACTTCTGGTCTGCATTGAAAACCTTTTCCGTTCCCGAAGTATTGTCCAACATGTGCATTTCGATGCAGCAGTATTTGCATGCCAGCCTATGGATTGGCCCTGATTCTTGGAGCGACTGCGCCATAAGAATAGGCCTACGCGCAACGTAGACGAGTCATACCGGCCTCCAGTGGCCGTCGGCCCAACCCGCCATCGTGCTTGGATTGTTGGCCAGAGGCCTCTTGGATGCCTCGCGGGGTGTCATTGACGGGTCTCTTGGATACCAATCTGGGCATCTTGGGATCTCCCCTCGTGGGAGCCTCTTGGGGGTCCTCTTGGTCCTCTTCGGGGCGTCTCGGGGCCTCCTTGAGGCGGCGCGCCATTTTGAGGCTCAGGGCTCCAGATGAGCGACGAAGGAAAACAGGTTCCTCTTCACCGACATTGGCGCGGAAGTTGCCTGCGTAAGGTCGCGCGTTCACGCCCACGTTTCCAATCCATCGCGCCGTGCTGGCGGCCCGCGTGAGCTGCGGCGTGAGGTCGCTGCGTCATCTCGCGTAAGACTCGTTTTTGATCGTCGTTGCAATGCCAGCTCATGTTCCTCCTCTTGGGCCCCTCTTGGGGAACTTCGATGGGCTTCTTGGGCCCCCACCGGGGGCTCGGAATCCGTCGTGGTGCGATCTTGAGGGCATCTTGGGCCGCCGTGGACGTTCCTCTGACCACCAAGGCGATTACATCTGTTACGGGCATTCAAAAAACAAGCTACATCAGAGACGATCAACGTTTGTGTTGGATTCCCCGCAATTTCTTGCAGATACCATGCAGTTGACGTTTCGCTCTTCTGCCCGAGAGGCCCCGAAGAGGGTACCAAGAGGCGTTCAAGCGACGTCCAGGAGGCTCCGACGAGGCATCCAAAGGGCGTATAGGCTTCCACGACGAGGCCCCCGAGATACTCTGTTGTTCTCGCCCCTCCTTGTCGTGGCCGTTCCTTTTATCTCAGCCGCGATCCGCATCTACTCATCCTGTTTCTGCTCCCCTTCTTCCCCTCGCCCATCCTCGTCCTTTCCTCCTTCACTCTCCTCGTTTTGCTTGTATTCTTTCTGATCCTGTTCATGCCTGCTCCCCCTCCTGAAATAGCGCCCCCGGCCGATTGCGTAGCAAACGCCGCGTAGCATCTTGCAACGGCAATTTGGGGATCAAGCTATTTTGGGCCACCGTATCCTAGATAGGAAAGAAGGATTGATCTCAATAGGAAGGGGCGCGCGGGAGGGGTATGACTGCAGCTGCGATGCGAGCGCATTTCGTTTGATTATATAGTGTGTTTGACCGTCGCCCTTTGTGACCCGTTCTCGATTTGTTTTCAGGTGGTGTTTTTCTTTCTTTCTCTCTCTCTCTCTCTCTCTAGCTCTGCCATTATCTCTACCCCTCTCTTCTCAACCTCTCTTATTGTCTATGGTTTTATGTGGCCCGTCAGTGTAGATGCAGGTGTGCACATATACAAGTTATGCAGGCGCTTTAGACACTACCGCAAATTTGTGTTTCTCTCTCTCTCTCTCTGCCATTCGCTATATCTCGGGTTTGTTCTCTCTCTCTCTCTCTCGCTCTCTCTTTTCGTGTTGTCTCGTCTTATTCATCTCTTTATATAGCGAGAGATAAAGAAGACGATAATAGAGTTTTCTCTAACCCACTTTTCTACTCATTGCCCGATTGCTTTGTTTTCTCCCTCTACCTTTCGTTCGCTCGCTCTCTACCTCTCGTTTTGTTCTCGCTCGCCCTATCTCTCTTTTGATCTTTCCAGGTTTGTATTGTCTGTTGCCGTTGAAGTCTCATTTCTACTGGATCGGAGTGAGGGGGCCGAACGGTCATTCATTGTCCCTGGGTGCGTGGTTCTAGTGGGGATCCGTGGTAAGGATTCTGCTTGTTGCATGGTTGAATCTATTATTACTAAACAATTCTTATTGTTGGACCCCTTACAGGCGCCCTGGCGCTCTCGCGGAGGCGCCGGCTACATTTTCATTGAAAACGAGGCTCACGCTCGAGCGGTTTGGACCGCCAAAACCGCCCCCCCAACAACAACAACGCTCCCGCTCGAGACCTCTCCTTTTTTACTCAGGGCTGGTGTTCTTGCTGGCCGCCGAGTGCAACCGTCCTAACAAAACCAGCGCTCCCGCTCGAGACTTCCTCCCGTTTTACCTTGGACTGGCGCGCTAGTCTTTCTCTCATCGGCGCCGCCCCCAGCAAAAACAACGCTCCCGCTCGAGGCTTCCTCCCTTTTCTACTCAAGGCGGTTTTCTTTCTCGCCGCCGAAAGCCGCCGCCCCGACAAAACCAGCGCTCCCGCCCAAGACTTTCTTCCGTTTACGCTGGGCTGGCGCCCATCTCTCTTTTGAATTGGCGCCGCTCCCAGCAAGAACAACGCTCCCGCTCGAGGCTTCCTCACTTTTTCCTGAAGACGGTGCTGTTCCTCGCCGAAACCACGGCTCCCGCTCGATGTGTTTCCCCTTCTTACTCAAGGTGGTTTTCCTTCTCGCCGCCGAAAGCCGCTGCCCCGACACAACCAGCGCTCCCGCCCGAGACTTCGTTTCGTTTTACGCTGGACTGGCGCCCTACTCTCAGTTGAACTGGCGCCGCTCCAAGCAAGAACAACGCTCCCGCTCGAGATTTCCTTTCTTTTTCCTCGGGACGGTGCTGTTCCTCGCCGCCGAGCCGACAGCCCCCGTCCCGACAAAACCATGGCTCTCGCTCGATTATTTCTCCTTTCTTACTTGCTCAAGGCGGTGTTCCTCCTCGCCGCCGAAAGCCGCCGTCCCGACAAAACCAGGTTCCCGCTCGAGACTTCGTTTCGTTTTATGCTGGACTAGCGCCCTACTCTCTTCAGCATTGGCGCCGCTCCCAGCAACAACAGCAGCCCTGCTCGAGACTTCCTCCCTTTCTATTCAGGGCCAGGTCCTTGCCTCACCGCCGACAGCCCCCATCCCCACCAGGGCCATCCTGTCGCTCGATACTTCCTTGTGCTTTACCCTTCGCTGGGGTTTCACTGGCGGTCTCGCATCGGCGCAGCAAGGCGCGGGCATGCCTTTTCGAGGCGGGATATGTGGAACTTCCTCGGAGGAGGTGTTTGCAAGACCTCATTGGGCGGAATATCTGGGAATGGGAATAATGGACCCCGCTGAAGAACAAGAGTCCCCCATGATGGTGTTTGCTATCGTGATGGTCGCATGCTTCGTGTGGATACATCGCGCATGAGGCTAGCATGACTGTTGTTG